AAGAAACATACTTTTCGGAATAGATTCTTGGGAAACATTTATTCTAAAGAGCAATTTTGGGGGACTTTACATTCTCGAAAAATATTGGTCGATGGATTCGATGAAAATAATAGTCGCAAGGAAAATTGATCACGACGGGAAAGGTTCGTACCGAGAAAGTATCATCTGTCCTATTATAGATAGTAGTTGCATAAGAGTTTTATTATCCACAGCAAGTTCAGACTCCAACCCATTCAGTTACGCGCTTCTTCTGTGACGTGCTGTTGAGTTGTGCTGTTTCAGTGGCTGAGGACCTTGTTTTCTCCACTTTGCCGAATATCATTCTCTTTGCTAGTTTCTCGCATGTTCCATTCGATACCCGAAGAAGTTGTTGGAAGGAACGTCTTCTCTCTGGCTTTGCTAAGGTTTTAGCTAGATTTTTGGTTTGTTCCCGTCGGCAGTTTTGCTTGTACCTCGAACGATATTCGTATCTACATGCGAGGTGGCACCTCCAGCCTTTTAGGTGGCTTCTGCCTCCTGACCTCGCTCCTTTCTGTCTTTGTTTCGTTTTGTCAACAGCTGCACTCCATCGCGATGAGGAACACGGTGCGTGCTCCGTCCGGCGCCTTGTCCCGAGAGTGGGATATTGGTGCAGGCCTGCGAGACCCAGTGACGATCGCTCCGCCGCTGGACATCCCCCCAATCCCAGATCCTCAATGTAAGCCAACACATTCAATCGTATCTTGTTGGATCCTCATGACTTGGATTTTGGTAACACATTTCGTGTCTTAGCTGCTGATTGTGGTTACTTGGATGGATTCCTCGTACAGGATTCAATGTTCCAGCATCCGAACCAACTCACCGAGCGCCTTGGTTTCCTCCCGAAACCAAGGCACTCTGGAGTGCGACTCGTTGCTGCGCCCGTGTGTGTGTGCCCGGCGCATGGTTTCCATCGACCTATCGGCGGGTCTTTCTGTGTTGCGAGCTTGATTTCTCTGCACGTCATTTGATTTCTGTGTTCCTAGTAATTATATGCTCCACGGTGGTTTGGGCTGTCTTGTCTTGTCAGCTCATGGTGTGTTGCTTTTAGTTGCCCGTGTGCAACTCGCCTAACCTGACCTTAGGCGTCAAGAGGTGATTTCTGACCTACGCATGTTTACGAGCATCGCTTCACGTCGTGATGTGAATTTGGCTAGTCGGTCAAATATGTAAATACACCAGGAAAACTGGTCGCGGTTCAAACTGTTGTGCTTACACTTATGTTTGTTTTAGAGATTGCGAGTCGTTCCGATCTCAATTCAGTCTCGCCGTCTGTTTATTTGGCTTGACGGCTCCATTTCTCCGACCTCTCACTGTCGTCTGCTGATGCTGATGCATTCATCCCCTCCTTCGCTCGGTGTCGCGCTTGCCGTTCCGCAGCTAGATGAGATCAAGGCTATGCAAATCACTCACTGCCTCCATGCATCATGGTCTCCTCTGCAGCCTCTTGTCCACCCCGCTTAAAAATTGCATCAGGCTCTTGCACTGCAACTCTGTGACTTGTTGGTAAAAAATATAAATATACAAAGAGATTAAAGAATCAATTGATGGTTTGTAATTTATTTTTTGATTGATATAAATTTATTGAATGCTTTAAAAAGGCTTCATTTGTCTTACAAGTTGTTCAATAGTGAAAAAAAAAAAAAAGGAAAAAAAGAAAAAAAGAAAAAAAAAACTATTAAGAAGATATTTGATATGGAATATTATTAAAGTTTTGATTTTTTTTTTTTTTCCTTTTTATCAAAAGAAAAAACACTAATATATTTGAATGTGTCAAATTTGATTAACTGGACTAGTAAAAAAAAATCATATAATATACATAAATTTCAAGCAAAAAAAAGGTTTAAAAATTAATAGAAAGTTTTGTAGAGACATCTTTTTCAATTAGAAGATTAAAATAGAGTAGCTCTTGGCTCTACTAAACTTTACAAAAGTGTAAATAATTTGCACAATGCTCTACTTTAAAAAAAAAAAAAAAAAAAAAAGAAGAATAAATTGTAGTTTGTAGTATGTATTAGGTACTTATACTTATAAAGTAGATGATACAAAGTATGCTTTAGTTTCTACATCTACAATAAAATCACAGTTTATAAAATAGTTTTAAATAACTTTAAATTTTTAAACCATTAAATCTATACATAATTAAAAACTATAGCATTTTAAGTTATAATCTATTTTAAATAATAAAAATAATAATTTTTAAATTATATATGCCTAAAAACTAAAGGTCTTTATAAATTTAATAGGGATTATACATAAGACAATAAAAGATGCATATTTTTTGATATTGTAGATAATGCTAATAAATAATTGCAATAATTTTGGAACTTTATAAAAATCCATTAACATCAAGAACTTATATTAATTTTAAAAATTAAAAGATCATATCTTAGAACAATCTAACATATAAAAAAAAGAATCTTAAAGCAAAGATTTGGTGTTTATTTTATACCAAAATATATAAAAGTATTATAACAAATATTTTCTTATAAAATATATTTTATTTATAAAAATTAAATTTAAATTACTTGATATTACTTTTAAATCATAATAAATATATATATATATATATATATATATATATATATATATATATATATATATATATATGTGTATTAATCTAAAAGATATTGAATATGTTTAATATAAATATAAAAATAATAATTCTATAAATGCCATGTTTAAGTTGATTGTAAAATTGGATATTTCAAAATTAATGACATTATTAGCAATAATTAGAATGTAATATAATATTTTACAAAAGCCAATTAAAAAAGCAAAAATTTACTTCAATTGAAGCAAAGTGCACATTTTCTTCATTTCTTCTACCAAAACTAGAGGTGAAACACCTAATTAAGGTCCTTCTTCTAAGCACTTCTAGTAAGTTACATTGATAAATTCTTGATATGACTAACTTTGACAATAATTCCTATCAATGTTTGTTTTTATGTTTTCTATTCAATCTCTATGTGTAGACAATACAACCAATGTAATATATATATATATATACATGTATACTTGCAAATATAAGCCCATGGTTTTAACACACCAATCAATTGTATGTTTTTGATCATAAGATATGTAAAATAGTACCTATTGCAAATCTAGTTGCATCTAGCAAGCAATAAATCTTGATGCAAAATCTTAGTATTGTAAGTTGGTCTAAAATCATAACCAAGGAATGACATATAGCGTAATTCTTGTATGATTGTGAAACAAATGGTAGCTTTATATATAATTTTTTTTTACAAATTTGCTATGCTAAAAAATTGGAAGCTACATATGATGAATGTTTAAGAAGAAACATGTTACAAAGCATTCAAAATTTTCATCCCAAGGGTTCTTTTTTGTGTATCAATGTTGTGTATTAGAATTATTTTTTAATTTTAATTTTATTTTATTTTATTCTAATATATGTTGTTGCAATTTCAATGAATATTATAGAAATTTCAATGAATATTATAGAAATTTTAATTTGTATTAATTTATTTCAACAACATGGATCCATTTATTCTCAATTCTTTTATAATACTTTCTCATTCTACTATTTTGTCTTATATTTCACTTTAAATTACTCTTCTAAATTATTCAACCAAATAATGTTGTATTGTCATATTAGTAAAATATTAATGTTAATGTTTTTTTATTGTCCATCTTTAGATCAATTAACTCTCGATTTTTTAAAATACATCTTAAAATATAATTACTCAGGTCACAATTTTTTAACATAATATATCTACTTTTTTCAAATGTTATTTAGTAATGCTTTTAGATTTTCCTAGTAATGGCTTGATTATCATGTCTAATATTCTATAAATTATTTTTTATTCATATTACCCATTAGTAATAGTTTCTTTTCTTTGGTAATTCTTATCATCTTTTTAGGTATTTTTTTTAGAACTATTGGTTGTTACATTTTTTCTTCTTATTTCAACATTTGCTCTCAACTATCTTAAATTTTTTTTCTTTTAAAGTTTTATATGGATCAAGAATGAAAGATATTTTTTATTTAATAATTCAATGCTATCACATATTCTTATATTTTATTTAATAATATAAATCCTTACATTGATTTGATGGCTTCGTTTTTAAAAGTGTCTCTAAATAATACTAATTTATCTTATGGTTCTATATTCCATTCAATGTATTTTGATATTTCTTATATTGTTACAAAAATAATAATTTTTAATACACTATTATATTAAAATAATATTATTTATTAAAAATATTGATGAGCATTTAAGATATATAAAAAAAACTCATTCATAAGTTTTATGAATTTTATATTATGTCTTAATTATAAATGAACTAATTTTGAATAGCATGTTTATACTTTGGACTTCATTTTGTACTTAAAAGGCTTCTATTGTCTTGATTAGGCCATAAAATAATTAAATATAGATATAATAGGTATAAAATTAATATAGTAATTTCTAAAATAAAGTTGAATTTGAAGTTTTTCAAAGTTAATCATAAAAATAATATGGCTGATACTTGATAAATAATCATTTTTTAAGATAGCATCAAGATTTGATTCTAAGGCATAAATTATAAATCCAAAATAAATAATATTATTTTTTAGAAATTGGGAGGTATCTTTAGAAATTTGTTTTTAAAAAATAATGTTGGTGGTTGTAGGATTGTAATGACTATGATTTAAAAAAGATCTTCAACAAGATAAAAACATATTGAGATTTTGTTTGCAATAATAAGTCAAGAATAGTAAAAAAATGAGATTAAGTTTCAATTTATTTTTGATATTTGATACTTGTCTTTTAATTGATGTTTTATATTTGTAAAAATTTGTAAGAGTATAATATATTTGTGAAGTTTTTATTATTATTTAAGTATGCAATTACATGGTATCAAACCACTTATGCAATGAGATATGAGGTATTAGAAGCTGGTGTTTTAAGGTAGATAAGCTTTCTAACATAACTAAAGATCTTCACATTAGATAAATTTAAAAAATAAGATATCAAAAAAAGACATTATGGTAAAACTCTATACAAAATTAGAGTAGAAGCTAAAATTATATCAAAAAAACTAACACCTACAAATTCTTATTATACTTAAAACATAAAGTTGAGTAATATCAATAAGAATTTGTTATAAAATCTATGAACTTATAAGTTAGTTTTTTCATTATTCTTATAATTATGTAAATAATTAAATATAAAATTAATTTAAAAAATTTAAAATTTATCTAATGGTCTATCTATAGCATGTATTTTATAGTATTTTATTAATAAGTTTTTAGTATTCTTTAGGATTTATTTAGAATTATTATTTTAAAAAAAAAAGAATATTTAAATTTTAGAATTGTTAAAAGATATAAATTATTAAATTATTTTTTTATATAATTAATATTTAAGATTTGGAGATATTTGTAAAAATATAGATTTTTTTTTTTACAAAAAAATACCTATTACATTTCTAAACAAGACTTTGTATGATATTGCAATATTTTATTTTTTTTATTAGTTAGAATATTTTAGATTAAATCATATTGAGTCAATTCTATTCCCAAGATATACTTTAGATGGTAATACAATTGTACATATTTTTTTAATATTCATATCTTTTTATTTTATTTATTTCAATTGGAATATATTAAATAAATACTTTATGTAATAAGATAGACATTTTTTATTACTTAATGCTTTATTACATTGATTGACTTAATACCAATAATTAATTATTATTTTTTTAATATCACTTTGGTCGTTTTTTATATTTAAAGAAGTAAATTTATTCATAAAAATTCAAATTATATAATTTTTGTAAATAAGAAAATGTTAGATTTAATACCAATGGTTTATCTTATATACTTGTAGTAATTATTATAATTTATTATCGTACAAGAATTTGTATGGTATTTTAATAGTGACTTACTTTTTATTTAAAATCGTTTTAGAATATTAATTTTTTTTTCTATTTAAAATGCTTATATTATAACAACTATTATTTTAAATCTTTTAAAAATTCTTGTAGCATTGATTTTTTATATTTTATATTTTTTGATTATATTTTTGAAATTAAATTTTATATTTTAATTATTCAATTTTTTTATTATAATAAAAAAGATGAATCTTTGACAATTGCATCTTGATCAATTGTACTTAGTTCTTCTTTAGTTTTGCTCTTTAAAGAAATTTGGCTTGTTGCATAAAAATTATGTATTATAATTTTTATATAAAACA